TTTAGGAACAAACGGAGGTTATGAGCAGAATATATTTACTGAGGGAAAGAAAGCTCCTGTCCAACAGAGGGACAGGAGGGGGGCCCGAGCGGGTAGTTCCCCGGGAAGCTGTCTCTTCCAGGGACTTTTATAGTGTAAAACCATGTGAGGCTAAGGTAGAGAGAATGGGAACTCGCTTAGGTGGGCAGGAGGTGGGACAAAACTATGGTCAACCAATGGGATTACATATGGGACAGGGTCTTTTCCTGTTGGGGGTTGGAATACGGGACAGGGTCTCTTTCTGTTGGGGGTTGGGCTAGTGACTCACTTGGGTCTTTCCAGGTGATTGATACCTATTTAGAATATCAATCCCAGGTGCTACTCGTTTAGCATTTGTTTGGCCTTTAGGTCTTTAGGTCTGGCTCACAGCAGGAGCATCCTCCCCTCCCGCAGTTGTAAGGCATCTCATCTTCTGTGCTGTCTCCTTCGAGGGCCTGGCCCTGTTTGACTGCCTATAATATTTCTATCTAACTCGGCTGCCTGCAATATAAGGAATGTGTTCTTGCCCTCTTCAAGGCTGTTTAGTAACAAGTAATTGTGTCCTTCCCCTCCCAAATCTAATTCCTGTAAACATAGTCAGCTTAAGATGTATCTTGCGGGAAAACGTAGTTCTCTTTTCATCTTGCAAGATGGCGAGTGAAAAAACTGAGAAGCCAGACTCTAAAGAGAAGAAACCCGAAGCCCAGAAGGCTTCTGCCAGTGGCGCTGGTAAAAAGGGTAAGGTAAAGAAGACAAAAAAGTCCAAGAAGGGGCAGCCGCACTGCAGCCAAAATCCTGTCCTGGTTAGAGGAATTGGTAGATACTCCCGATCTGCCATGTATTCCAGAAAGGCTTTGTACAAGAGAAAGTGCACAGCTGCTAAATCGAAGGTTGAGAAAAAAAAGAAGGAGAAAGTTCTTGCTACCATCACAAAACCGGTCGGTGGGGACAAGAATGGAGGTAGCCGGGTGGTTAAGCTCCGAAAAATGCCAAGATACTACCCTACTGAAGATGCGCCCCGAAAGCTCTTGAGCCACAGCAAGAAACTCTCCAGTCAGCATGTGCGGAAACTTCGAGCTAGCATCGCTCCCGGCACCATCTTGATCGTCCTCACTGGGCGTCACAGAGGCAAGAGAGTGGGCTTCCTGAAGCAGCTGGCCAGGGGCTTGCTACTGATGACTGGGCCTCTGAGCCTTAATCATGTTCCTCTACGAAGAACACACCAGAAATTTGTCATTGCCACCTCTACAAAAATTGACATCAGCAAAGTGAAAATCCCCAACCACTTCACTGATGCTTACTTTAAGAAGAAGAAGCTGTGGAAGCCCAGACACCAGGAGGGTGAGATCTTCGACACCGAGAAAGAGAGATACCAGATTTCAGAGCAGCGCAAGGTGGATCAGAAAGCGGTGGACTCAGATTTTGGCAAAAATCAAAGGTGTTCCTCAGCTCCGGGGCTACCTGCGATCCGTTTTTGCTCTGACAAATGGAATTTATCCTCTTAAATTAGTGTTCTAAGTTTCTTACTAAGAACCTAATTAAATACCTGATACATTAAAAAAAAAAAAAAAGATATATCTTGCAAAAACAGCTTGCTCAACAAGCCCCCACACGGGCAAGTTGTGCACATCGCTGAACTGTGAAAGACCCCTTAGTCTTGTGATTTTTTGCTTTAAAAACTCCTTGCTGTCTGGCTGGGGGTGGGGGGCTCAGTCTTCTCCTGCACAAGAACTGACGATGGCCCTGAGCTCAGTAAATAAAGGCTCGAATTCAAATTCCAATTTGGCTTCTGATCTGGTTCCTGTGCAGAGTGACTCATAACAGCTGTGCCCCAAAATGCAAGATTTCGTAAGTGCTGGTGTGTGGGTGAGGAGAAACGTGTCTCCCCTCAGAAACACTGCTGGCAAGCACATCAGTTGGTGCAGCCGTCAGAGAAGCCGAAGGAACGGCCCGAGAGCCCACAAGCCAGCCACCACAGCGCCCCCATCTTCTGCAGAGTATTGACACAAAGAAATGCGCTCAGTGCTTTGCCGAGCAACACCCTGTGCTCCTGTAGATACTGCGGTGTTAGTAACCATAGCCAAGGTAGGGAAACAGCCTAAACACTCTTCGACAAACGGAGAAATAGTAATGTGGCCTTTACAAAGGAGATACTGCCATTTGAGACAACAGGAGAAAAAAGCCTGATATTATGAAATACATTAGACGGAGGAAAAGCCTCATTTGTATATGTAACCTAAAAATAAATTTTGAACAACTATAAGCAGAGCAGCGGGGAAGTAAACGAGTGAAGTAGGTTAAAGAGTACACATTTACAACTAGGTAGGATTAAGAGAGGTCATGTAAAGATAAGTACAGTCAATGGTATTGTGTTGTGCGTTGAAAATTTGCTAAAAGAGACTTTAATTACTCTGATCATCAAAAGAAAAGGTAGCCTTGGGAGAAGATAAAGGAGCCAGGTAGCCAGATGTGGTGGTGCAGGCCTGTAATCCAGCGCTCGCGAGGCCGAGGCAGGAGTATCTCTGCAAATTCGAGGCCAGGCTGAGCAACGTGGTTCAAGGCCAGCCTGAACTACAATGAGAAACCCTGCCTCAAAAAGATTAAAACAAGAAAAGAGAGGAAGACGTGGGGGTTGGGGTGTGACTTCAGAAGCCTGCGATTTTGAATAAAGACCTCGGCAGGGTGCAGTAGATGTCCGGAAGGCGCGGTCCCCGCAGGCGGTTGATGCGCGCTCTCCCAGACCGGCTGACCTGAGCCGCGAGCGAGCGTTTCAGGGATGGGCGGGCAAGGCGGGCGGCCGAAGGGCGGAGCTTGACGGAAGCGCTGGCAGGCTCGCCCTCTTCCCTACCAAGTGCCACCGGAACCAGCGGCTTCTGAAGTTTCTTTCCTGGTCGCGATGTGCAGTGACACCTACCGGGGGCCAGTGGCGCAATGGATAACGCGTCTGACTACGGATCAGAAGATTCTAGGTTCGACTCCTGGCTGGCTCGTCCTTTTCTTAACGCAGTTATCCCTTTTAAGGGGGCTCATTTAAATAGCTTTCATGGAGACTGGAGAAAACACGGAAGTCCTCCAGGTGGCGTGGATGGTGACCCGTGTCCGCGGGGCTCGGCCGGGCTCGCCGTCGCGGGGCGCGGAGGGCGGAGACGGAGCTGCAGTTCAGGCTTGGGGAGGCGGGCGGGTAGCGGGGCGACGCGGAGGGGCGGCTCCGAGCCCCGCGTGAGGGCTAGACCCGCAAGGTCGGCGGCTCGGTCAGCCCGCCCCCACCTCCGGAGCAGTGTGCTACTCGCTGCCGGTGAAACAGCTCAGCCTCGTAGCGCCAGGTGCAAGAAGTCTCGGATCTGCTGTCATTTTTTCCAACACCCTAAAACACCCGGCCCAGCTCTCCGGGCCCCAAATTCAACTTTTCCCGGGCAAGTTACTAGGGATTTGCTCGACGCAGCGGCCCGGGCGGTTTGCGGACGCCTGCCTGGACGCGAGCGCGAGCTCCCCGTGGAAAGGACGGGCGTGGAGAACACTCGGGAACTCGCGCCTGCTCCCGGGCAGGGGGAGCCCGGCGGCCACGCCTGCTCTTCGCGCGTCGCCTCCAGTCTCGGTGCTGCGGTCGCGCGTACCTGGCTCCACCCCAGTGTGCCAAGGTCTCCTGCAGAGGTTATGTGCTAAGCGAGTATTGCGACTACACAAAAGCAAAGCAGTTCAGCTGATTAAGTTTCTTCCAAAAATGAAAAAAAAAAAAAAAAAAAAAAAACATTAAGCTGAGTGAAGTATTCTTAAACAAGCATTTGAGGATACAAACAAATACCAACACTATATCAGACATCTAAAAACAGAAACAATAGGAGGAAAAGAGATGTGAGTATGCTGGGTTAAGAAAAGAATCCAAGGAAAAGAAAAATCACACACACACACACACACACACACACACAAGCATAAGAGATCCAAGAATAGATTGAAGTATGTGGTCAATAATAGGAGGTTTATAAAAATCAGATCAGTATTAGGTTAGGAGAAAACTACAACAAAAGATTATATACCTAGCCAAGCTAATCTTGAAGGTTTTTTGGTTTTGTTTTGTGTTTTCTGTGTAGTTCAGGCTGGCCTTCAATTCACTGTGCAGCCTGGGCTGGCTTGGAATTTGCAGCAATCCTCCTGCCTCGGCCTCCCAAGGACTGGCCTTGCAGGCCGACAGCACTACCTCATTCTCAAAAGCCAATCTTGGGAAATACATCATAGAAATAAGGAAACTGCCAAGACAGAAAGGATCATCCAAGAGCCACTTTAGTGGGCATTTCATGTGTTTGAAGATCTCCCAAAGCTCATTGCCAGCTTTAGCAGGCAAACTCTACCTAGTTGTGGTTCCTCTTTCAGAAAAGAATTAGCATATTTTATTACTTTAATTGATTTTTAATTTGTAGACTTCTGTTTTTTTTTTTTTTTTTTGCAGAACCAGAGATTGAACTCAGACCCTTGCACTTGCCGGGGAAGCACTTATTCTACTGAGCCATCTCCCCGGCCCCACTTCTGGTATTTTTAATGTTTTCTAACTTTGAAACCGGTGGGACTATTTTTGTGTACCTTTAGATCTCAGGCTTCGGGTTGTTTAACATGAAGCTCCTCATTTTTTTCCTGCTGTATGGATGTCAAGCGAAACTACTCCACATGCCTCGATAGCCAGCCCTAGGCAGTACAGATGGTCTGCAGTTTCCCCCAGGATGCAAACGATCAAAAGAAATAAACATTTTCTGCATAACTCAGTTTCCAAAGGGACAGGCAACGCCCCACCTCCACCATTGTCTGTGGCTGGATCAGGCTGTGCCTTGCTCTGAAGGGAAAGTGGAACCAGGCCCCAGGCTTTTTGATCACTGCTCTTCTGGAGACCCAAGGGTGCACCAGACCCCAGAAGCCCTGATTCATGTAGAACCAGAACATAGCTGTCGACCCTTATTTCTGCCTGTAAATTAAGAAAAAAAAAAAAACCCTCTTGGCCCGTACGGGGATCGAACCCGCAACCTTGACGTTATTAGCACCACGCTCTAACCAACTGAGCTAACCGGCCTAACGATAAACTCCTGTGCTGCCATACAAATTATAAAGGTTAAATCCGACGCAGACCGGGTAAGGAAAGGAAGGGACCTTTTGATCGCTGTGCACGATACATTCTCGTTCTAAATTCCTAAATAAAGAAGCAGCTTTGACCTTTTAGAACATCTCGGTAGGTAGAGAAATCATGATTTCCAGGCGCCCCCATGTGTACGCGTGTTCACTGGCGCACCGTGAGCGTCTCGTGCTGTGGGTACTGCTGTCCTCTCGGAACATTTCCTTACATCGAGAACGGATGGTGCGCGCGGATCAGCAACGGGCACTCTTCACTATTTAAAATAAGTATTGTAACGGATGTGAGGAAACTTATTGTAAGATTCACATTGCTTTCACTTACTATGAATATAATAATTTACCGAAGCAGCGAATCATGGCAAAATTGTGCGCTACAGCATACAACAGATAAAAAGCATGGAAAAATGAAGGCAAAATTTTAGAGATGAAAATTCAGTAAAGAAACACATTATAGAAATTGTATCTGACACCAAACGTCAGAAACTAGAAACTGATTTATTAACCAAAGAAATTCAAATTAGTTATCAAGTGATGAGATAAACACCGCACCTCAAAATATAGAAACTACAGAGGGGAGAAGGAGAGAAGGAGGTCGAGGGTGGGGAAGAGAAGCGGCAAATTAGAGGCCAGATGTGGAATAAGGTGCTATTTAATTTTGTTCTTCCATAGCTAATTTTTTATGTATTTGCTTTAATGATTTTTTCTTTACAATAAGTTTTGGACAATTTCATTTTTGTGTATCTTGGTATGATTTTATTCAAATTTCTTGTGCAAAAGGTTCATTTTTCTTGAAAATATGGTGTTATAAATTCAACTAAATTCAGAAATTTTAAATTTGGGGCGGGGGGGAGATGGCTCAGTAGACTAAGCGCTCCCCTGGCAAGCACAAGGGCCTGAGTTCAACCCCCGGTTCCACAAAAAAAAAGAAAAAAGAAATTTTAAATCTTTAAATATTTATTGCCTACCCCTTTCTTCTTTGAGAATTTTAATTATATGAATATAAGTTTCTTGATTTTGAAAAAATAATAAATAAAATAATAAAAGATACATCAAATTAAAAAAAAATATTGAAGGCCGGGGTGACAGGTTCCGTACCCGATTTGACCTCTGCCTAAAGGGCCGCGGCCGAATCGCGCAGAGTCCTTTCGCCTACGCTGGGGCCAGCAACGCTCGGTCCGGATAACCTGAGAAGCTTTGTCTTTCGACCTTACAACTCAGAGAAAGCACGGAGAATTGGAAAGTACGGAGAATTTAGACTGAGAGATTGCAAACGCGTGTATTTCTTCATAAAGTGCACTTTGTGTGGAAAGCTATCGTCTCCACGAGGGCCTCCGGCGCGTTAGGAGCCGCCACCGAGCCGCGTGCGGGGCGCACGTCTGTAATCCCAGCGCGCAGCAGGCTGCGGCGGCAAGAGGACTGCCGCGACTTCCAGGCCAGCCTGAAATGCATAAAGAAACTCAAGAGCCCGCGCCGACCACCAAGGACCGAGCAGCATACAATTTAACGACTTTTATTTTTCTTTTAGGATTTTTTTTTTTCAACCATGGCGCGTTTCTTTGTCAGTTGAAATGGATAAAGTGAAAACTCCACGACTTGCATGCAAACACAAGAAAACTCCAAATCCCTTCCCAATCTCCAGGCAGGGTATTCCCAAATTCTGAAAGGGTTCGACTTCAAAAAATAGGAGCGAATGAAACCCAGTGTAGATCTGGAGAAACAGATGTGCATGCCCTGCAGTACTTTATGAGTTGTTTGTTTGTTTGCTTGTTTTGGTTTGTTGAGATAGGGCCTTTTCTGTTCAGTTCAGTTTGCTTGAGCTGACCTTTTAGTCCAGGCTGCTGTCAAACTCTCAACGATCCTCCTGCCTCAGCCTCCTGAGTGCTGGGATTTCAGGCATGTGCCACCATGCGCGGTTGTATTTTATGTTGACTTACAATTTTGTATAGACCTGCAATAATAAAGACCAGACTTTTTCTTTCGACTATTCTATGTAGTATGCAAAGATAGCTCTTCCCTTAAGCTGCACGTCTGCGTGGGAGCGCTGTTTCCTACGCTTTGAGTTCTAAGTCTGCAGTCGGTTCAGCTGCTCTACTGTCTTCCGTCTGAACTTCGTTTCCTGAACATACAGTGGCGAGTGCTGGTGTGAGGGGCTCCTAGCTCACATCCGTGTGCAGTTCATAAGGGAAACACTCTGCGTGCACGGACCGCAGCCCCCGGCCCAACGCTCTCGCCGTCGGCCACGCGAGTCGCGGAGCGTCCCTCTGCGCAGATGTTCAGCTCTGCGGCCGGGTCCCCACAGGCGGCGGGCGCGGGAGCAAGTCCCTCGGCTCTGAGCCGCCCCGACCGCGCCGCCCCGCGCGGGCAGCGTGGGCTTCAGCTGCGCAGGCCGGAGGCCGCCGGGGTCGCAGCCCGGCGGGAGGGGCGCGCTCTGCGGCGGGACCGCGTCTCTCCCGGTCCTGCGGCGCTCCCGGTGCTAGGCTCACCCGCGCGAGTCGAGGATTCGGGACGCGGGGGAGCAGCCCCTCCGTTTTCAACCCCTTCCCGCGTCTGGGGGCTTCCCACGCGATCCCCACCGCGGTGTCACCCGTGGCCACGGCTGGACCCCCCAATTCCAAGTGTACCCCAGAGGATGTCGGAGGAGGAGGTCGCTCCGCGGAGTGCGCCTCGCTGTGGGAGGCCTGCGGGAGCGAGGAGGCAGCGCGGCGTGGGGGCGCGAGCCCGCGGACGCCACAGAAGCCGCGTTGGGCGGCGCGCGGGGGGCCGTGGCCGCCACGCGAGGTGACAGAGCTCTAAAGATCTGGTCTTTCCAGGGAGAACCATTGTGGTTTAGGCTTGCTGGAAATCTTCATCAGGAGGCCGCGTAGCAGGGAGGTCGGGGAGGGGAAAGAGAAACAGGTCAGGTCGTGTACAGCTGCAAATTCCCTACGATCGATCGTGGCCATCCTTTTGTGTGGCCAAGGCGTCCTGATGGACTGATTGGGAAAAGGGCAATGTATCTTCATCACGAGTAAAAAGAACAACGTTTCTTGTGGGCCGGTTAGCTCAGTTGGTTAGAGCGTGGTGCTAATAACGCCAAGGTCGCGGGTTCGATCCCCGTACGGGCCACTCTTTTGCTCCTTGTTTCTTTCAGTTCCATTTGAACCTGTCAAGAGTGGGTGTTGGTTATCTGAGCATCTTGCGACCTTTCTTGTTCGCTGGTCTTATTTCTCCTTAAGGAACACCCAACTTGTTCAGGTCCCCAAAGACGCTATCTCCCAGTGAAGTGGCACCTTCCTCCAGGGGCTCGGTCTGCGGATCCGGGGTGACCAGCAGGGTCAGCGGAATAGCAACCTGCGGTTCCCAGCGTGGATCCTTAAATTCCTTCCGAATGTTATGAAATTGCCCCTTTCCCACCGCCCGGCAATTGGCAAGGTGTCACTCGCTCCCACGCACGACGTCTTCCTGCGACAAAAGGGGGGCGATGGAGCCCTGGAGTCCCCAAAGGCTCGCAACCTGGGGCAGCTGGGGCTCCGTGGAGAGTTCCACGTGATTTCATGGGGGAAGAGGCGGGACATTTCTCACTGACTCCCGGCCAACGACGTTACACTCTCAATGGAAGGGAACCTCCCTATAACCGTGGAAAATTAGTGTTTTGATTTTTTACATTTATTTATTATTTGTGAAAAACTATGGCTATCCATATCTTATATTTTCACGTACTCCCAAATCTGCTCGCTGTCTCTTTCATTCCTCGCTGTTATTTGTGAAATTTAGATGGAATGGAAACGTGTTGAAGAATCTACCTTAATCACAAAACACCTTTTATACGCCCGACTCCAGCACAACCGCAGGCTGACCTTTGCGCTGCCGGTTCCCACAGAACCGTCTCATCCATCCCAGCATAATTTTTCCCCCACAGTCGCAGGAATTGAGGAGACACTGTGCTCAGCTCCATCAGAAGCTAGGTTTCCAAAGCCTCGTACCTGACTTTTTCATACGTATATAATACATTATTTCTCAAAATGTCTTTTGATGTCTTACTGTATGTTACCATTACATGTAAATTCATCCCAGAAGGGGAAAAAAAAAAAAAACAATTAGGATAGTTGGAGATGTATGAGCAGGAGAAATAACTGAAAATCTAGAGTTGGGTTTATGCCAGGGTGTTTGTTCTATGGCAGCTAGTTGCGATGGAGGTGAGCGCAGCAGACCCGGGTCCCGGCACCGGTGACTGGGACGCAGGTGGAGAAGGCAGACACGAGCCGCAGGAGAAGCTTTCTTGCAAAGTTCTCTCACTAGGAAGGGCTGTGCGCCTACGGAGTCCGAGGTGTTCTGGGAGGACCGAGCAGATGCCAAGAGGGAGCATAGTGGCAGGGTGCGGGGGCGAGGGCGCTTAGGTGCAGATGCAGGTGCTGGGAGGCGGGGGCAGGTGGGGCTGCAGGTGGGCCTTCCCGGTTCTGAAGCTCTCAGGAGCTCAGTAGGGAACTCAGCTTAGCTGAAAAAAAATCACAGTAGCCAAATCCAGGGAATCAAGATAGAGTGCTTCCAGTGATCCCGGAAGAAAAGCAGTGTGGGACGAGGTGGCCGAGTGGTTAAGGCGATGGACTGCTAATCCATTGTGCTCTGCACGCGTGGGTTCGAATCCCACCCTCGTCGCAACGGTTCATCTTTTCTTCTACTCGCACCTGTTAGTCCTTCGCACATCTGGAGATTTACTGCTTGGGCTCCTGGGCTCCTGGCTCAGGGCCACCCGCCCACAGGGAGAGAGCTCAGTAGAATAAGCGCTTCCCTGGCAAGCGCAAGGGTCTGAGTTCAAACCCTGGTTCCGCAAATAAATAAATCAAATAATAATTCTTTGTTTATTGTCACAACGAAGTGCTTTAGAATTTCCTATCCTTGATTTACTTTAAACTACTTGGTATGGGGTTGGGGAGATGGCTCAGTGGCATAAGCTCCTGCCTG